AGAACACATGGGCGCTTGGTCACACGAACTTCTCACGTCAGTTAAATTTGAGTATCACAATCTTACTAGACAAGATGACGTCGCTAATAGAGTAACCTTACAACCTACGAGCTATGCCCCTGGAAGTAAGTCCTTGTTGTCAACCGTGAGTGCTACCAACTGTAGGGAGTTGATAACGCAGAGGAAATTGTAAACTGATTGATTGGCGTTATCTACATCTGCATGCATGACTACTGTGACTATACTATATCTAATGCTATACATACGTGCGCTCTGCAGAAGGAACTTCTGGTGTCCATGGCCGAGCACGCCGCACGCCATTCGAGCTTGGTCGTAAACTGACGTCAACTGTGACGTCTGTTCTGATTGGTCGATAACCCTATGACGCCACTGGAGTGACGTCGTTACAGCTTCGGTCGACAACACTGCAAAAAAATAGTATGCGGAGGCTTTGGCAGTCCATCATTGCCGTCGCAACCGGTGGCGCGTGCACAGACCAACCGCCGAGTTCCTTCGGAATTGCATAACGTCACGAGGCATTCGACGACTACCTCTAGCGGCACGTACAAGAAGCCCGTGTTGACCATTGAAGTGGGTGGTTCCGATTTTCTCGCCCCCGCGTCAAAATCTTCAAAGCGTTGACTCAATTTGCCAATGAAGTTTTGCCTTTCGAGGGCAACGATGGTGGGATTGTCTTTCCTGATGATTGATCAACCAAGCAAGTCGGACGTGATGGAAAGTGACATAGGGGATTCGTTGATATCCGACGCAATCATTGACTACCGGTAGATTTGTATATTGAGGGAAATAATGCAGAGGGTGAAGCATGGAATATATCATGTTATCGTTGTGTCCAAGCTTCATCGTAGGGGGCATAGAGTTGGAACGAAATGCGTCATAATTGGTGTTGTATACTACACCATTTTGCAGTTAAGTTGGACGAATGCCCGGTATATTTGGTCGTGCACCCGTTTAATTTGGCACCCGGATGTCGTGTGCCCGGTATATTTGGTCATGTGCCCGATATAATTGGCCGTGTGCCCAAGCAATTGCCCATGTACCTGAAGAATTGTGAAAATGGAAATCACGCAATAAAAAGTCAATTCACACAGATTCAAATTTTGGAGGGAGTTGAAGTATGGACGAAACGTTGAAGTATAGGGGCAACAGTATACTTTGTTCAAGTAAAAAATATCGACTTCAATGTTCCGTACTTATAAGTATTCACTGGAATCGATGGATTGACTTGAATAAAGTATACTGTTGCCCCTATACGTCAACGTTTCGTCCATATTTCAAAATTTGTATCTATCGCGCGCAGAGCTCATTTTCGATTTACCTCAAGGCACGCACCCACGATGGACACGCGGAGGCCATGGGCAACATGGGCGTTGGTATGTGAAGTCACAGCAACGATTTTACATGTGTCGTTTGACGACCATTTCTATATTGAATTGACTTTTTATTGCGTGATTTCCATTTTCATCGGGCACACGACACAATTCTTCGGGCACATGGGCAATTGCTTGGGCACACGGCCAATTATATCGGGCACACGACCAAATATACCGGTACCGGGCATTCGTCCAACTTCAAAAAGGCGTAGTAGTAACTGGTGGCCAGTACTGTACGCACCCACGATTGTTCCTGGCCCACTTCCAATTCGCAATTGGTATGGTGCTCTCATTCGATAAACTATCTACTTTTCAAATCCCATGCGAGGCGCTATAACGTTGCCGCAGTTGAGTATTTTATGTACCAGTATAGAATGGCATGGAATCGACGCACAGGATAAGGCCAAGTGATTGTGTGCCTCTGATCTGTTCCTATGATGAAATTACAGTTTACGGTAACAGACAGCAACTTTTTTTGAACGTGTAAACGGACGGAGACAACATTTGGCCAAGGACAATTTATCTTGATAATTGTATTCAGATGTATCCGTGCCAATGGAATTTGCGAAAAAACTTGGGAATGGGTACAATTCATAGATGGAGTGCTGCTCCAGATACTAGGACAGTGAAACGCGGTAGAACTCGGCCAGGGCATATCACCAGCATGTCGGATGAGTGGTAGGACTCAAGTATGGACCCAAGATGTACCAAGGCATAATATCTAAGTTTGGGTATGATGCACGTCATCTAAAAACTTCCAACTGGCCAAATCGAAGTGTGGAGGTTTTATTATTTAACGTACAATTGATGTAGTTAAACCCAAAAACCATAAACGTTAAATACTGATTTCATGCGTTTTATCACTAGGTCTCAGCAGCCACTCCTACGGCCAAATATCCTCGCGCCCGTGTAAAATTCCACTAGGTTAAATATCTATTTCTGGACCAATTCATCACCAAATTTGAATCTGAGACGTAGAATTTCTTCACCACATTGAGATCTGTTGATTCTACGTCTCAATTTGCTGAAAATTTGAGTAATGAATACTACGTAGTACGAAATAGAAGTCAGAAAATTTTGTGAAAAGTTGGTAGTTTATAGGTGACGTGCATCATACTCAGAATATCTCTCGCCCTACTAGTGTGGCAATGACAATTTTATCAGAATATCTCTCGCCCTACTAGTGTGGCAATGACAATTTTATGTGAAACATTTTTCGAATGTGCACTAAGTAGTACGGTATATATTGTGTCATGATTTATTGATAACAATAATACCCCTGCTTACTGTTAATTTAATGTATTCGGGCCACTCTGTCTGCCACGAGAACTGTCAGAAAGCACGTCTTTGTGTAATTTCTTAGAAATATTTTGACAGTTTTTCTAACTCCAGCTTTTGTGTCTTTGGCAACCAAATCTGACTTAACTGTAAAGAAATACGTCGAATTTCTAGAGTTTTCGGAAATAAAAAGTTTCAACCGTAACTGTCCAATTTTGACCTACATGATATTCCAGCAATAGTTCCCATACCATCATGGTATCCAGTGATCACATCAAAATATTTTGCTATTATTTTCTCGCCTCCCATTTGAAAAGGGAATGCTCGGTCAGAATATTATTTGACATAATATTTTCTGTGGTATCCAGACTCGGACTTGTGGTACTTTTTATTGAAAACGGCGATATTATGTCACGTTTGGTGGCATCCAGACACGGCCTTTGTAATGATGAAATATTTGGATACAGTGTAAATCTCCATCCACCGTTCGTGAACGCCGACTCGTTTTGAGAGTTGAACAAGTGGTTCTGTCCAGCTGTTTAGGATCGTTGTTAATGGCGAGGGTTGTGTGTATTCGAGAGGATAAATGGATGGTGGTTGATATATCGGATGGCTGGGAAAGGTTGGAGATGGGGTTTTGAAAAAGTTGTATTCAACGAAGAGGGACTTAGGGTTGCTACGCTGGTAGTAAGTAGATGGTGGGTGAGAATTTGGCCCACAGAGCCGCTTTAACACACTGTATTGTTGACGTCGAATCTCTCGACTTCCTGGGCAAATTGACTCAACGCTTTGAAGATTTCCGCGCCGCGGGTACGGATGGTCGACGCGTTGACGACAAAACCCGAACCAGCCACTTCGATTGTCAACACGGGCTTCTGGTAGGTGCGGTAGGTGTAGTCATCGAACGCCCCGAATGCAGGGTACAAGGAAGCCGACGTTTGGGCCTTGTAGTTGGCACCGGCTATGACGGCAACATTGCCGCCAAGCCGTTGAAACTTTTCGTCTTCGCCGTTCCCGATAGGTTCCGTAATGTCGCCATAAGGGTACAAGATCAACCCCCCGGCGGAATGCACGTCCACCCACCCGGCAAGTTCAGAATTCTTGGTATGGAGCCACTGTCTAATCCCCCTAGTTTCCGGCTCGCTCAACGGACCCGTGCCAGGGTAAGTTTGGGCGGAGGGGAGTACGGGTTTGGAGTTTTTGAAGGGAGTTGGCCAGTTGCGGTTCAAGTCGACTTCGTTGGCATTCTTGCGCTGCAACCGCTTGCCGTTCGTCCACGAGATGTCGTACCCGTCAATGTTGACGATCGGAACAAAGTACAGGTTAAACCTGTTCGCCGCCGTGTATTTCTTGTTGGCAATGTCGTCCAGAATCGAAGACAACGTAAACAAGTTCGACGACCCCGCGATCCATTCCCGGGCGTGGAGCAGACTTTGGAAGTACAACGACTGGGGCTTGGTCCAGGCGGTCGTCAGTTTGTACGCGTAGATAGTCTTGCCTTGGACGGTGGTCGAAATCGCTTCTTTTTTCAACAAAGTTGGGTTCTGCGCCACCAATGTATCCACGTACTCGAAGATTTGCTCCGACGTGCGGAAACAATTGTAGAATTTGCTGGCCGCATACTCGCCAGGTTTCAACGTCTCGATGTAACCGTCGTTGGCCGTGTGGCACTTGCGGTTGACGTCCGCGTCGTCTTCGACCGCCGGGACTTGGGCGTCGGAGATGAGTTTTCTGTCGGGGCCGTGTCCCAAGGCATCCCCCGCGGCATATGCTGCAGCGGACGAGGCAAGCGCGAGAATGGCAATGGTCTTCATGAAGCAAATTCAACTATGAGTGCAAGGTTTGGGGGGCTCGTGTGGGGGGGTGCATCGTGGGTTTCTATTGCATTCACATTTGGAGACAAGTGTATGTAATGTTATAGTACCATTCGTCATCAGAATTGTCTATTTCATACGTTGCTGAAAAAGTGTTTACCGTAGTTCGTAAATCAAAAGTGTTCAAATTTTATAAGTGTCAAGTGGGATTTCTCTAAACTTTATGCGTTTGTAACGGTAGCAAAAATTAACACCAAGAACTCTCAAGAAAAAATACCTGCAATTTTCGATGAAATCATTTTTGAGAGGCAACAAAATCAATCTCAACAATTCCCTTTACTCCGTCCAATAACTTCACTCCATCCATTTCACAATCATCAAATAGCCGCCCAATTCTATTCAATACAACGTTGATGTGTGCATCGTTGGTGTCTTGGAACTGTGAGATTTCGGGATGCGGCGCACTCCTAATATTTATACGTGTAAATTTGAACATCCTTTCAAACACAATCTTCAAGTGAGAAATTCGTGTCTTTTCCGACATCTTGATATTTGTAAGGAACTTATAATCAACGATGGCTCAAGGTCAACATAATACAATTGTCCTGTCAAACTTTTTATCAATTGCCAAAAGCAGGGGCAACTTTTGATTTACGAGCTACGGTAAACTGAAGCTGACTATGGTATAATAAGAATACGGTGCGTAAGCAATGTTGGAAATCACGCCATGCTCGGAAATGGTGGGATGGCCAATCACACTGGAGGTAGCAACTTGGTCATCGAGCAATGAATATTTGATTCGTTCATATTCTTGAAACCACTACCATTTCGGAGGTGGGTAGTTCGTGGCACACTTGCCTTGATGATGTACTTCAAGGTACTACATAGTACTATTAATAGGATTGCTTTGCGACTAAACGTTAAAAACAGACTGAACGATGATAGCCTTGCGACTAAACGTGAAAAACAGACTACTATTAGTATTACAGTAGATAATAATTCCCTCATTTAAACAGTTCTACTGTTGTTTTGACCTGAAATACTGTTTCAATGAGGGAATTATTTCATCCGGATACACCTTTCGCCAGTACGTAGCCCTGTAAGCTGGGACTCCGTCCTACCCCCGGTGAGTACATACGATGCTAAATCTCCGGGGTTAACTGCATCGCTAGTGGTTAGCTATCGCTAACCACAGAGATGCACTTAACCCCTAGTAAGAGGTGAGGTGGCCTGAGCATACAAAATTCCTTATAAATCTCATTGAAACAGTATTTCGGGTCAAAGCAACAGTGGGACTGTTTTAATGAGGGAATTGTACGTACAGTAGAAGTGTAGAAGTGGACCACTCACTCAGGGAATTTGGTACTACTGTATTGCATTAGCCAACGGCCGATTCTTCGCCGTTCATGTGGACTATGCAATTTACATAATGATACTTTCAAATAATATCACATGAAATATGTATGAAAATATAATTGCCAAACAATTGCATCCAGTGGTGGGAGGGGAAGATGTATCCATGTTCACTCCAACGTCGCACATCAGATCCCACGGACGCTGACATAACTTCCAAGCAACTCTGTACCTTGATCGCTGGTTGCATAGCCCTGGGAAGGAACACAAACCGTCGACTTCGTATCGAAAGGAGCTTCAGATACCGTGCTTCACTTCACGTCACCTGAACCCGCTTGCTCCACCGCCCGCTCGAGCTTACGGACTTCTTCTCATTCCTCGATCAAAAACCCAGCCTGTCATGCTGGATAATTCGCTACGAGTATCATCACGCCTCCAGTTGTTGAATGTATAGTCTTGTTGATACCGGTACCAACACGGGATTCCGAGTCCCGTGGTGAAAGTGCAGTGAACACTTCCGACACGGAACGCACCCGGATTTCGGATAAGTTAGCCAATCAGAATAAAGTTGTTCAGTGTTGAAACGTTCAGTGATTGTTCAGTGAAGTTGCTCGAACAGGGTCTAATCATGTACTTCGAAGTATGAAGTATTATTTCATAAGTTCAATTTGACATGAGGTTTTGTTTGGTCCAAATAGATATGAAAGGCAATGCTATTGGTAGAGACATTGAGACATGTTGGCCGATCAATGAACAAACGGCACATCAATTGTCGGTCACGTTATTGACCAAAAATGTCCCTAAGTGGGTGGGACTAATTGCTTGCTACGTACGATTAGTATAATTTTAACGTTAAACACCGTTACGAAGGCATACAACTCTGTTGTATCCCCGCCACAAATTGAGCAAGGTAACTACTTCGAAGTACTACTAGTATGTATTGTGCTTTTCACTTTTTTTGGATAATCCAGGTCTAAAACCACGCTTTAATAAAAAAATCATCCTAAAATTACGGCACTCGCCGTGATTTTACGGATGCAAGATGAAGTACATTTACGGTTCGCGTTGAATTATAACTAATCGTGACGCTTTGATTGGCTAAACATCGGTTGCGGTGTATGGTTTATCTTATTCAACTTGTTTTAAAATGCTCAGCATCGACATGCGTTGGAGATGTGTTGTGCTTGTCCAAGTTTATGGCATTGAAGTTGACGTCGTTCGCTTCATACTTGGACTCTCACGACGTAGCGTAACAACATTCAACACGGTGTTTACATCTACGGGCAATGTGACTAAATTGACGAAGCGCTCGACGGAGTTACGCTTGGCCTACTGAGGTTAACGCCTGGGTGAACGAATATGCCACAGTCCATCCATGCTTCTACATCGAGGAGCTTGAATACGCACTGCGACACCAGTTTCTGACGCTCAAGAATGTATATGCGGCAACGATATGTAGAGCACTCATGCATGACTTAGGTTTGACGCGAAAAGGTATTAAAGTTTCGAATCTATTTTCAGTATATATTCGTGTGTAATTAGTCTTAGAACGACGAGCGCGAGAGTCTGCCCTTACTTCGCGTACCCCGACCAGCTTGTTTTTGTCGACGAGACTTCCAAAGACGGACGTGATTCGATTCGCAAGTACGCTTGGTCGAAACGCAACAAAAAAAGATGGTAGAATTACCATTCTCTCGCGGTCAGCGGGTGTCAGCACTAGCGGCATTTACAACGTCCGGATTTTTAGCGTGGGATTATGTGGACGGTATAATATTTTTGTCGTTCCATGGCTTAATTTATATTTATTGGAATTTTTAGGAACATTTGATCGTGCTACGTTTTACAACGTCATGGTCAAAAAGATTCTGCCGTATTTGAATCCTTGGCCGCTGCCGCGTTCAATTTTGATTTTCGACAACGCAATGATCCACATGTACAAGGAGCTGGAAGATGCAGTTCATCACCGAGGTTCACTGCTATTTGTTTTCTCGCCATATTCTCCCCAGCTAAATCCTATTGAGGTGGGATTTAGTCTAGACAAGTATTGCATGGCATTTCACCGTGCTGTATTAGATGTGGCGTTTGTAGAGTGCACAAAAAAAAAAATGAGCGGATAGGATACAATTTTTATCGCCATTGCTTCAGCGTTAGACCAAGAAACATTTATAATTTAAATTCGTTTGAAACCATTGGAATTTTTTATGCAAATTATTTGACATTTCTACAAATTAATGCGATCAATATCCTCAATGTTCACGCTTGGTCCGACTACTTCCCTCACTATTGGTTCCCGAAAGGATGGCGTCAGGTCGAATGGAGGAATTCCTAGAATTCTGCGGAGATCTTCAACGGACAGAAAACAATCCACTGAGGCACAGGCCATCGTGCCAAACCGAACTCCAACCCTACGGTACGTTTCCGTCGTCTGGGCATTGATTTCGCGCCGGCGTTCGTCGGCATGACTTGAAGACTTAAGATTAATATGACCGAGTTGCCGCATTGTAGCATTTGAGGGAATTTCAGCGGGGGCGGTCGGCGGCAATCTTGCCGTCACAACGGTTGTATAGTCGGTTTAGAGAGAGTCAAGAAGAAGGCTCTGGCCTTCAATGTATTCCGCAACGCGGGTTGCCGCAGTCACGAGGTTGTCAGAAGTTGCTCGTCTAATCGCGGTGCTGGTATCCTTTTCTACATCGTATTTCATAATTTACACCAATTTAATAATAAGGACACAATTTTGTCAAATTCATATATTTCGATATTTTTACCGGCGTAAATGAACAGCGGCAATAATTGAACGATGCTTGGGCATTGCGGACCTTGCTTGCGTCGTCCCAAACTTGCCGTACCACATCGTTGTAGTTTAGCAGTTTGAGTTTGACGTACTTGTCTTGCGTTGTGTTGGCCGCAACCTTTACGTAAACTTCATTTGGACCTTCCGGGTCCCACCGAAGCCTCGCGTTCTACGCGTCAGCGTGGTAGTCGGCGATGGTAGTCGAGACGGTGTTGACAACCAGGGCAGAAACAACACCAAACGTAGTATCGCTGGCCACGGTGAGCTCGGTCAGCTTACCAACGCTCGTTCTACTCTTGCCCGAGGGTTTACCTACCTTGGTAGTGATGTGGCACCGAAAGTGCTCCGGAAACACGATGGTCAATCGTTCGCGCTGCATGTTGGTATCGTCCACTTTGCGAGTGAGATGGTCCAGTAAATAACGACCTATATTTACTCTCCATCTGTTTTCTTTAACGTGTGGTTTTATTTTGTCCTCCATTGATTAGTGCGATAAAACCATGGGCAAATTCGGTGAAAAGCAAAAAAGTATTAGGACTAGTAGTAAGTTATTGTGGCTAGGTCCAGGCTGATAGTATTGCAGCTGCACACTTTGTACTGTAGCTAGCTGCGTAGCTAACATTTTCTAGCTAACGTTAGTGTAGTCACATCTCATTAGCTAAACTTTACATAAGGGCACAGCGTAGCCCGAATAAGCATGTAGGCACTCCCGTGTACTTGTTGCATTCATCTCATCAACATAGCTATATTCCGCGACCAGCCTCTTGTATGGACAGAAATATTCCGCGACCATTCCGCGACCGGGCATCCCCACTGGTACGTTAAGTAGTGACAGTTTACATCACTTTCATGAAGTGGCACATTCATAGTTTGCAATTTGATTGAGCATGTGATTTCCACGGCTACAGTAGTTCAGTTGCTCCAACAAAACTATGGCTTGCATTATGTGAGGGTTAGATTGTTGTAACTCAACGAGGTATGCTTAAAAGAAGTCGGCTGATCAATGAGAGGTAACGTTACTACTCATGTAGCGTTAAACAGTATTCTATGTAAGCTGCACCATTGCTGGTAGTAATTCGCGGTAAGTCCTCCGAGTAATAAATTGGGTTTGGAATACCTCTTCAATTAATGTAACCTTACACCACAAAAGGCAGCAGCAGCCATGATTAGTCTATCGGGGAAATGCTATTAAAAGTAAGCTTACACCAAACAAGGCGGCAGCAGCTATGAGTAAGTAGCCTATCGGGGAAATGAAATTAATGTCGCTAGGCGTAGTAGCAATGATAAACGCCGAAAGTATATTTCGGCAACTACAAATGTTCCTTATATTTCGAAGTAATTCGGAGCATCAATCTACACAAGCACTACTTGCCCCCTCCAACTTTTGTATTCAATTTTCAGTGAGCTACACGTAGACTTCGGTTGGTTGTCGGGGGTCCGGTAATATCGTCACATAGAATATATATATATTTGATGGGCACAATCGGATTTGATAACACTGTGCAAGGTACATAGCAATGGGGTACAAGTCAATCAATGTGGAAGTGATTGTGAAACTCTTGATTTGGGTAATACGTCACTCCATAGCCCCCCGCTCGCCCCTCAAATCAAGTAAATCGCTATTATATGTATGTACTATACAAATATGTAGTTGGGATTTGGGCTATGTTCAGTTTGTAAAATAATATATATACTACGTAGTAGTTTGTGATGTTTGGCATAATGTCGGCCTGGCGTAGGAAGATGTGCTTTGTGTTAGGTGATTGTGGTTGAGGAAGTTACAAGTGATCTCCGTAGCATGTTGCGCATTACGCTAGTGTAATAGTCACGATATAAATTCTCATGGATATCGAAACTTCGAAACCTTGTTATCTTTGGGGGATGATGCTATTAATTACAATATTTTGACTTGAAAACTGCCAGCTTAAATGATGATAGGATACAATGAATGATGTGAGGTCTGTAGGTTGATTTGCTGTGTAATTGCGCGATGAATACATGTTTGCCCCCCTCAAACTATAGTCTAGGATTCAATGCAGTTATGGGGAAGGACTTTGAAATGCGAAAGGGGTGGCGCAACTACGATTCAATGTTGGTGGACTGTTGTAGTATCGAAAACGAGACATGTATTTGCTGTTCAAGAGGTGTCGTTAATCTAAGCAAGGATGCCGATTGAATTTCATTTAATCTAGGTGTATATAATCGAGGCATTTGATGCCGATTTGTTGTCACGAGATGTCGTAAATTTGGGCAAATGTGCCTGTTCATGAAGACTGAAATAACGATTGTGGTCATGTTGACGAGAAGCGTCGCTGCGATTTACGCTATAACTACGATGGTCGTTCCTCCGGTATTTTCACTGGGGCCACCTTGGTGGGTGCCGCGACTGCGGCTTCGCCGGTCATTTTGGACTAGGTACATCTCTGGAGGAGCCAAACAATGATAATCATCATTGAAGAAATCATCAGGCCGATCGCGCGAGTGGCTGCGATCGCCGTGGTGGCGAAACCGACCTTGGTCACGTTGATCGCGTCGGTCCGAAGACGCGACTCTTTGGTAGCCGCCTTGGGCGTAGCCGCGGTTGGTAGAACCGCCGTGATCGTAACCACGTTGGAGCGGTCGACGTGGGCGTAGCCGCTTCGGTATTGACCGCCGTGGGCTAGGCCTTTTTGGAGTGCGTTGAGCAACGCACCAACATCAACTTGGTGATAGGCGGATCGACCGCCACGACCGCTTCCACGACCGCCGCGTGGGCGATTGGTGGGTCATTTGTCGGGGTGAGAACATCCACTACCCTGACCGTGTTGGTTTCGTCGATCACCACCGTGCGGTGTGAGTTGCACTGACGGGATCGCCACCCATCCCGGTGGAAAGACAAAATTGTGTCGCACCGCATTTTGGCGGAATGCACGAGAAAGCTTCGTGCAATCTATCGTGCGGTGACCTGCATGTGCGCAGTAGTCACAATAGCCGCGATCTTCGCGCGGTATGTCGCGCTGCGAGCGCCATGGACTGAGGCCGGTCGTTTGACCATAGACATCATAGCTCGAGAGGCGTAAAGTGCTCGATCGAGTCGTTTCGGACGCTTGGCCCGAACCATGAACCAGAATGGCAACGAGCTGTCGGTTTGGACCCAAAAATCAGGGTAGTTCTAGGTCAACTCGTGCCAGTGCTGCAGCAAGAGTTCACGCAGCTGGGTGTATGTGATGCTCGGTCGAGCAACGCGCCATACTTGCATATCGTGTGCAATGCAGTCAGGCAGAGCAGATAGCAACACCGATGCGAGGTGGCTGTCGCTGTGCTCTCGCGTTTATCGACGGCCTTTCGAAGCTTGTTGAAAGTGGCCACGCTGCCGTTAAGCGAGCAATATCGTTCGAAATTAAAGCGTAGAACTTGGTGTAGACGCACACGGCGGACGCAAACTTCTGCTCTTCGCTGCAGAACTTGCCGCGGAGCCACTCGATGATGCAGTGAGCGCATTGACCTTTGCGGCCGCGGTGGTCGATGCGCACTGCCTTCTGCAGCGACCCGTAGACCAACGTGATGGATCGTTCGACATCCGCGTGTTGGATTTGACGAGTTGCTCTAGCGCGGTTTTGGCCGAACATCGTTCGGCCAGGTATTTCATGATGGGATCGATGAGCTTGGGCGCTACGTCATCAAGGACTGGTGGCGGGAATGGTGGTTCAGAAGGACTGCGTCGTCGATGTGCCGACGCAATTTCTTGGTGTCGCCATCGAGGACGCGAAATGCACGCGTCAGGCCCTTTATGGACCACTTGGCTTCGACGCCAGCATTGCGTAGCCTGAGTGGTCGCGGGTGAAACGGAAAGTGATTTAGCTTAGCTACCAGTGAGAACAACTGCCTCTAAAGGCTCGACGGACTAGCTAATGGCTAGCCAATCAGGACACTGCATCCTAATGATGTACCGTGGATATGGCTGGCTATCTACTATCTGAGGAAAAGCCTCTAAAAGGCACACAAATCTCCTACTAGCTGCAGCCAATGCTGCTACCTGAGGCTTCAGGGCAGTGGTGATGTTCATGACAGAACAGGGTGTTCTGACTGTACACAAGTACATTTTGCAAATCACTTTGATAGTCTAACAATAACGTTGTCGTACTCGAGTTAGTTGGTGTAATGAAGTCACGTAATGAGATTGAGACTCTTGTCAAACGTTCTACTACGTAGTATTTTGTCGCTTCCAGGTATGAAGTCGTACACGCCCTAGTTGTCGCATTGATGAATATAACTCACTGCTTTGGAACAACAGTACAAACCCTCAATAAAGTATACCTTTCGCAATGTAATAAACCTTTCTCATATAATGTTTTGCTCTTCGTCGAAGAAATATCACCGATCTTGATTTCGATACTAACTTCAAGTATAAATATCGGCACATGAATGGTCGATAGTGTAAAGTGACATGTTTGCGAAATTTATTTTGTCAGCTTGAAACTGTCTAAATCTATCATTTTTGGGAGTTGGTAAAAGTGCTTGAAATAACATTTCCAACAATGTATGTATCGTAGGTATAACAGAAAAACTGATGGAAATAATCAAGAAACAAAATTCGGGAAAATCGGCACATCAATAGTCGGCCACCTTAGTACCAAATTCCCTGAGTGAGTGGGCATTTGACTAATACTACTTACTACGTAGTACAACATTGATGATACAGTACATGCAAGTCAGAACTGGAATTCGACGAATAGTACAGGTTCTACGTTTTATACTGGTAGGGTTTACGCTATTACAGTGAAGTGGAAAAGCTAGACACAGTTACACACAACAATATATAAGTGTTTGTAAGCCACCCATCGAGACCAGTTAACGTAGGGCACCAGTCATCGGCTAAGACACCAGTCATCGGCACTGTTGTAAGTCAATAGAAATGCCCGAACATCTCTTATTGGTCAAAATGTAGTCCTTCAAGAATTAGTGCCCCTGAGAGAGCATAGGTTGGACCAGTCAATTTTGTGTTGACCATACAGAAATCGTTACTGTAGCAATTAATACCCATTCTAAACACATATTACTTTGATAGCTAATATGATGACAGCATCCAACGAACTAGAGTTTGGAGGATTCAATACATTACACAAGTCTAAAATGTGGGCCGATGACTGGTACCCTTCGAAAAACACTACTTTTGAAAATCCGTACTACACGTGTTTACTATTTAAATTGATATCCTTTGAACCTCAATTCATGAGCTGAATCTTGCGGTTATTTTATATGTATCACCTCAATATGTGTTGTAATTGTAGTCAACGAGAAATCGATGAAAAAAGTAAGCAAATAGCGATGCTGATGACTCGTGCCCCACGTTAGAATATTATTTTTCATACAACCCTGGTCTGATAATACGCGAAAATT